AAAAAAAAAAAAAAAAAAAAAAAAAAAAAAAAAGAAAATCACATCAAAGGAAAATGTAGCCAGGAGCAGTAGCATAAGTTTGAAATTCCAGCTACTGAGGAGTATGAGGAGGAATCAATCACAAGTTTGAGGCCAGCCCCGAAACCTAGTGAGACCCTGTCTCCAAAGAAAATTAAACCACGAGCTGGGGTGTACCTTAGAGTCTCCGGGCTTTACTCTGCAGTGGAGGGCGGGGGGAGCACTTGGGCTGTAAGCTGACTTGCTGAAATGGCCAACACTGGTCTGTGCCCGGGCTCTGCCTCTTAAAACAACGTGGCCTACGCAAACAGCTTCAGCCTCATTCTGAATGTGTGCCTCGCGGTTTGCTCTCTTTCTGCTGATTGGTTTCTGTGTTTGGACAAGGGAGAAAGTGGCTGTCCCGGCCTCACATGCCTTCCGAGTTAAGGGGCACTTGATAGAGCTTGACTAGAATACTGGAATCTCACTTCCACGTTCTTGGGAGAGAGAATGTGACGAGGACAGGCTAGGTCTGTACATTCTTTGTACCCCTTTTTCTATTCAGTAGTACCGTGGCGGACGGGTTTCCAGGGGTAACAACGCCCCTCGGGCTGCTCATATGAACATTACAACAAATGGCAGCTGTAGAACAGTGGATACAAAGACTACTAAAATGAAAATTAACGGCAGTTGTCTGACGGTAGGGCTCAGACGTACGGTACATTCCTAGCATGCAGGAGGCTCTGGGTTCCATCTCCAGTAGAGCAAGTAAATGAGAAAGCGAGAAAGAAGTTGAATGGCCTGAAAACGCATATTCATAGGGATATTTATGAATGAACTGAAAATTAACTGCCCTAAACTTGGGAAGACTGAGAGAAGGGTACATTCTCTAAGTTTCTGTCATGTATTTAATCTCCCTTTTGAATTTCCACTGGTACAAACCTGCAGAGGTGCGAGGGGAGAATTTACACTTGCTGTGCAAAGTAGCTCAGCGTCTTCTCTTTGGGGAAGAAGCCCTCTCTCCGTGTTTCTTGCTCGCTTGCCTCCTATCACCTGAAGTATTGATTCGGCCGGGAAAACAGGCCCAGGTCCACTGCGGAGAGCAGAGCTCACAATGGGTAGTTCCCTAGAGGAGATCCAACGCGGCAAAGTAATCACAGAGCTGTTACAGGACCTGACAGACCAAGCGCGACAGTGAGGCAAACACCCTCTGCGGATGTCAAGGAGCAGGGCCTGCCAGGCAGGAAGCAGGGACATCCAGGGAGAGGCACCTTACCAGGGCAACACCAGGGAAGAGATGGAGTCACTGCCAGGAGCAGAGGAGCAGAAACACCTTGGCTCCTTCCTTCCTCCGGGTCTCTCAGTGCTTCCCACGAGCTGCACACAGCTAGAAGCCAACTGGCACGGGAACTGGGAAACAGCCTCTAAGGGTCAGTTCCAGCAACACAGAACAAGGAAAGGGTGGGGAGACGGATCTGGTCGGCAGCGAGCAAACGCCGCCAACTCAGACGTGTTCAGCTGAATAACAGAAGGGCCGAGCGAGAATAGCTTACATTTGAAGAGGTTTATTATTTTTTTTAACGAGAAGGTATGGCCGTTGGGGGCTGATTAGATTAACTGACTGGCTCAGCTACAAGGACCCTTACAACCTGCATCCCTGCGCTCTACCCTCCCCAGCCCATTAGTTTACCCTCTGGCTTGCCTTTCCCAGAGTTCCTTGGTGCTTGCAGCCTCTCTGGGCAGCACAGACAGACAGACAAAAAAATGTCTCGACCTAGGCCTAGGGTTGTTTATTCCTATTTGCCTGGCTGGTTTTTGTCGTTCACATGTTTTGTGGAGTTGAGGATTGAACCCAGAACCTCATGCATGTTAGCCAAGCACTCTGAGTTCCCGTCACAGCCTGTTTGTCTGTTTTTTTTTTTTTTTATCAGCAAAGGAAAGCATTTGCTGAAGCCCCTCAGAATAATTCCCCTCCTACTGTCTTGGCGATAACTGAGGCACATGCTTATACCTAAACTACTAATAAAGAAGGGTCCCATCCAGATGGGTTCATGTCAATTAAAGTTTTTCCTCTTGCCCTGAAAATGGTTGTTGCCTTTTTTTTTTTTTTTTTTTGTCTTTTTGAGACAGGGTCTTGCAGTTCAGGCTGGTCTTGAGCTCACTTTGTAGCCCAGGCTGGCCTTGAACTTGCAACGATCCTCCTGCCTCAGCTTCCTGAGTGCTGGGATTACAGGTATGCGCCACCAGGCCCTGCATTTGTTGCCTTTTGAATGAGTTTTTGTTGTTGTTTTTTGAGACAGGGCCCACTGCATAGTCTAGGCTGGCCTTGAGCTCACTACGTAGCCCAGCCTGGTATCTTGTGGTCTTCCTTTCTCAGCTCCAGGGTGCTAGTAACACTCCCAGCTCTGACTGGGGTTTAAGAATGCTTGTTGATAGGAAGATGGTATTGGCCATGGTTTCTCTTGTACTTTCTTATTCACTTGACCTGCTTTGCTTCCTGCTCAGCCTGAGGCATCCATCTGTGTGTGTGCGGATGTGTGGATGTGCATGTCTGTACTGAGATGCGGAGAAGAAGAAATTAAGATTAATTCAATAGGAGTGAAAATAATATAAATCTCTTTAAAATAACAATTCTAAAACATGCTTAACCAGTTAGACTGCATTGGTTATTCTGCACACATAAGGAGCAATAATAAAAATGCTTAATAACTAAAACCAAATGATACGTGTTACAGTTTAGATCTAAAATGTCCCCCATGGCGCACGCCTGTAATCCCAGCACTTGGGAGGCTGAGGCAAGAGGATTGCTGCAAGTTCAAGGCCAGCCTGGGCTACAAAGTGAGCTCAAGACCAGCCTGAACTACATAGTGAGACCCTGCCTCAAAAAGACAAAATAAAATAAAATAAAATAAAATAAAATGTCCCCCAAAAGTTTTGTGTGTTCAGAGATGAGGTTTTGGAAGGTGATTGTATAATGGATCAGTGCTCTAATCCACTGATGATTTAACAGCTGGATCTGCTCTGAGGAGGTGGGGCTTGGTTGGAGGGGGTGGGTCATTGGGGCGGGTGACCTGGGTGTATTTTTTTTCCCTGTACTTTTTAAAACTGTACTTCAACATAGCTAGGCTTATAGAAATACACTCATTGTTTAGTAGTGTGCGGTTTAATTGATCCTACACAATTTCAGTGAAAAACTTGGCACATGGTTTGGGATTTTAAAAAGGATTTGCAATCCGGTTTATTTTTATCTATTTCAAATATATAAAAACTCCTCCATCAAATGCTGCTAAAGAAGGCAGCAGACCCTTTGAGAAATACAACTTTGGTTCGCCTCAAGAAAATTACAGGTAATAAATCGGATACACGTGTGTAAATACTACATTCTTTGGTGTGAGAAACTGGAAGTGTCCATAAGGACCAAAACGTAAAATAGATGGGCTGGAGATACAGCTCAGGGGCACAAGCGCCTGGGTGGCAAGCGCAAGGTCGCTAGTCCTATTCCTGGTACCAAAAAAAAATGTATAATAGATACTGTGAACTAGTAAGAAAATCTTCAAAAGGGAAGAGGAACTAGTGGGTGGGGGGCGGGGAGAAAGGAAGGACAGGAAAAGAAAAAAATGAGAAAAGAAGGAAAAAGTGGAACCTGAGCTTTTGAAAAGAAGGAGGGGAAGAGGAGTTGAAGGAAGGGGAGGGGAATGGGAAAAAACAGTAAAGATCTACCATGTAGAGGTACAAATTCCCCCTGATGAATGTGATCATTATGTATGTCTAAAATGTGCCAATAAATTGAACTGAAAAAGAAGAAAGATCACAGGTATTACACTGTAAAGTTTATAAAACTGATGCAAAAAAATTGTTATAGTACTACAAAGTTCAGTACCTAATACATGTGGAAGGGGATGGGAGGGAACTATAAAAGCTGTCTATTTTATTAATAATGCATGTAGATTGGAAATCTATACAAAACAAGATTTAGATGATTTCTTTTTTTTGGGGGGGGGTGGCGGTTACCGGGAATCCAACTCATGACCTCATGCTTGCCAGGCAAGTACTTATGCCGCTGAGCTATATCCCTGGGGCCTAGATGACTTCTTAAAACTGGAATAGTACTATCAGCTCATTTCATCTGCTGAGGCCCATAACAGACCTCAGCACACTTAGATTTTTATATTTTTCTGGACTATGAGAAGAAAATTAAGTTTCTTCCCCAGCTTTTCAGGCCAGACGTTCCCCATTTAACGACTGAGTTCTGTTCCTGCGGCTAGCTCCACTAGGTTGACTGGGTCCTTAAAAGAACTGGTCACTAAATGAGGAAAAGTAGAGCACATAAAGTACAAAATGTATTTAGAACAAAGAAAGCGTCAAAGGAAACTCCAACTTGATATCTTTGCTTTTATTTGCATGACTCTTACCTGCAATACTATAATTTTTTGTTTGTTTGTTTTTTGTTTTTTTCCGGTACCGGGAATTGAACTTACAACGTTGCGCTTGCCAGGCAGGTGCTGTGCCGCTGACCTAAATCCCCAGCCCCAATACTATAATGTTTAACAGAACGTACAACAGTACTGGACTGCATAGTACAGTCAGCAAAAATTACAGTACTATATAAATAAGGTATATTGTACCAAAAAAGGCATTGAGGCTGTATGAACAAGATGTGCAGAACTGAATAATAATTTTAAAACGACTAGTTGGCAGCCCATACGGTGGGCTGTAAGTCCGAACAGTGTATGTTGGTGTCAGTCATAAGTCTGAACAGTTGTTAAACGGGTAGGTTTTTTTTGTTGTTGTTTTTTTGTCTTTTTGAGACAGGGTCTTGCTATGGAGTTCAGACTGGCCATGAGCTCACTTTGAAGCCCAGGCTGGTCTCAAACTTACAACGGTCCTCCTGCCTCAGCCTCCCGAGTACTGGGATTACAGGTTGTTAAATGAGGAATATCTGTGTAGTATAGTAGACAAGGAATTATCTCCATTGTCAACATTCATGAAGTTGATATAGAAGAAATATAACTTCCAACCTGTTAGATGTCAAATGTGCTAAGTTTGTGTCCCTTGAAATCAAAGAATAAATTTCAAAGGACAGAGGGGGGTAAGAGTAGGAAAGATTTACTGGGGAATAGGAATAGCTCCTGACAGGCAGGAGTCCCGAATGGGTTGCTGCTGAGGTCATTTCCCTGAGAATGTTTTATACGGCAAAATCATGAGGTGGGTATAACATGGGTCAAACTATAATGAACTACAAGTATAGCCATTTAGCTAATATTGATCCAATACTGAAGCAGGGCATGTAGTAAGGACATATGGATGACATCATTACCTTGGCCTACCTATGACTTGTAAAACAGCAACATTTTAGAGAAGGGATGGGGTCAGATGTTCTGGTTACCCATCTGGGTATCTGATGCAAATCTGCTCTTAATGGACTGGGTGGTACCAAGTAGAGTAGAATCTCAATGTCCATTCATTCCTTAGAGAAGTATGTGAATCCAGCCATTGTAATTTTAATCTCAAGGCCTTGTCTTCTTCAGATGCGCCTCCAGCCACAATTCTGATATCTCCACCATTTCGCTGACTTCCTTGGGAGCCCAGTCCCTTTCTGACTGTATATTAATTTCATCCAGTTTAGCTGCCTATAATAGTAGGTACCCTGCAATGAGGTCAGCTTGGATTTTAATTTGTATAAGCACTTGTATGCAGATAGGTAATGAGCATGGCTTTAGAAGTGACTCTAAAAAATAACAAGGCCTTTCTTAGAAGACCAGGACAAAACATGCAGCTGTAGTTTCGAGAAGGCTCAGTAACAGGGTGCAGCCCTGGGTTGGTGGACTCTTGTCCTCCCTTCTCCGCTTCCTGGCAGCCAGAGATTGAGCAGCTTTTCTCCTCATGCCCTGTAACATGCTACTTCTATCTTGTTTCCAGCCAACAGCGGACTGAATCCACTGGAACCGTGAGCCGAGACAGACCTCTGCTCCTTTATGCTGTTAAGGGTTGGGTATGTTTGTCCCAGTGATGGGCAAACGGCTGGGACAATAGCATCATTCAGAATACACTATTAGGCTGGGCGAGGTAGCACATGCCTGTAACCCCAGCACTCGGGAGGTTGAGGCAGGAGGATCGTTGCGAATTTGAGACCAGCCTGGGATACAAAGTGAGCTCAAGACCAGCCTGAACTGCATAGCGAGACACTGTCTCAAAAGATTAAAAAAAAAATACAGTATTAGCCAGTCAGGATGGACAGCTTCCCTAGGTTTGATTCCCAGTACTGAAAAAAAATTAATAAAATCCCGAATGGATGGGCTAAAAAGAACCACTGAGGAGCTGTGCTGGAGCGAACCAGCTGAAGGCCAATACCAGCTGAAAAGGGTACCAAAGAGCAGACAGTGAAACCAGAGCCTCCCTCCACTCCTTTCTCCCACTTCTCAGTTCACTTCAGAGTCAATCACTTCTACTAGCAAAGCAGGTTTTTGAAGCTTTGTAACAGGACAAAGGTAGATTTTGTCAAGACAGAAATTAGTTTTCTCAAGTTTTTAATTTTCATTTGTTTTTTTTTTTTTTCTTTGCTTTTTTTTTTTTTTTTTTTTTTTTTTCTGGTACCGGGAACCGAACTCACGACCTTGCACTTTTTTTTCCTTTTTGAAACAAGGTCTCACTATGCAGTTCAGGCTGGCCTTGAACTCACAGCAATCCTCTTGCCTCCGCCTCCTGAGTGCTGGGATTACAGGCATGTACCACCACACACAGCACAATTTTCCTTTTAAATATATTCCGTGACCTAGTGGACTTTACTGAAAAATCTGCATACAAGACTGCGCACTGGGGCTGGGGATTTAGCTCAGCGGCAAAAGCGCCTGCCTGGCAAGCGCAAGGTCGTGAGTTCGGTTCCCGGTACCGGAGAAAAACCAAAAAAAAAAAAAAAAAAAAGACTGCGCACTAGGGCTGGGGATATAGCTCAGCGGCACAGGGGCCTGCCTGGCAAGTGCAAGGTCCTGAGTTCGATTACCGGTACAAAAAAAAAGTGTGCACTCACCAGCTACGTGGAAAAGGGAAAAGTGTATTCCTTATAGCTCAGGGGACTA